AAACAAAACTAAAGACTTTATTTATATTGCTTTCTTTAATTTAAAGCATTAAATATGCACATACTTATGCAAATAATCATTGTAATAACATAAGTTGAAGGTGAAATGATGTATATAAATTGGTTCTTATCAAATAGTATCGTTCCTCTTGTACGTTTGTAGCACGACTTATCACTTCGTCTTCAAATCTCTGTATTCATAATTAATCGTAAAATTAATATAGGAATAGGAATAATCTAAACAAATATAATTAACCCAATCCACAGGGTTTTCCTAGCCCACTTATGTGCAAAATTGCAATTTGTAGCCCATTCAGCCCACCCTCCAACTGACCCAATTCACTTGGGCCTTGCTTGTGTTTTTATGATTCGTTCTGACGTTTTGTAATTTAGACCATTTGTTCTTTTATTATTTTCAGAGTCTCTTATCACTTAATAGAGTATGAATAAATAAGAGGTAAACTAATATCTTAATTCCTTTTATTTCCTCTTTTATTTGATTCTCTTTGACTATTGCTTCTTTCTCCATCAAGGACGCCACCGTCCTTTCATCACCCATATGGAAGCCCCCACCTTCTCTCTCTAGATCTCTAGATCTCTCTCTCTCTCTCTCTATATATATATATATATATATATATATATGTGTGTGTGTGTGTGTGTGTGTGTATGTATGTGTATATATATAATTTATGTACGTATAGGTTAGCTTTAAGATTAATATGAAATAAGAACTTTTATCGATGATCTATCATCTATCAAATGTATCGATCTTTCCACAAACAAACTCATCGGTGTCAATCCCGATAGCATCATAAGTGTGAAAGTTATTCAAAAGGTTCTTACTGTATTCCATCTGTTAAGTAATTGTTGAGATGAATTTCGGCAATGAGAATTTTATTATAATCAAGAGAATTTTGCAAAAAGTTTGCACTTGGTTTTACAAAAACAAACTATTGGTTAGACTTCAGACGTTTATCAGTTTACAAAAACAAACAGTCTTATTAATTTAGATTTCAGTACCACCTCTTATTAATTAGAAGTGAAATAAGACTTCAGCACCTCTTAAAAAACAAATGTCACCTTAATTAGTTTCTGGGTCTTAATCCGTTTATTCCTTAACCGGGGAACAAATCCTTTACGAAGGTAAAATGTTCATTGATGTTGTTATCGTTTTAACTATTGCATTGTTCCAAACGTATTAGATTAGTAAACGATTCTTAAGCTCTGTTGTTGACACAACTTATTACAGTGCCTATGTTCGGACGTATTTCTTCGATATATCTTCAACATTTTCTTTTTGGGTTGTTTCGAAGAGGAATTTGGGGTTATGATATATTATATTATCACATAGTATCAGAGTCAAAGATTAACGCTCTAGAGCCATTTGTACTTGTCCAACCTATCATATGACCAGTCTTTAAAAATCTGTTTTGATCAAAACAATCCAAAAAAACCTGGTTCAACTTGGACTTCACAGTTTATTTATTGTATTAAACAAATTTACAAATATAATTATAGAAATATTATTATAGAATGAAGAATTGAAACATATGAAAAACAAATAAAATTACAATAATTTAATAATACAATGAATCTTATAAACTAAAATATTAAATCACCGAGTAAAAATTTGGAAGAAGATGCAGACTCATAAGAAGAGCAATCGGTTGTGTTTGGGGATCAAGAGGAGGGGAGAGGGGCATGACCAAATGACATCTCAATCTTCCATAGGGGATTATTCCACATAAACCAGATCGAGTTCTCACTGAAACGATACCTATAGTGTTTGGGAACGAAGAGGGCGATAGGCAGATTTTTGCATTGATCCAGATTGATCTTTGTTTTAGAAGTAGATCCACAACTAGAGAGAGACATGTAATCATTTACAAACCCAATAAATTGTACAAACTTACAAACCAGTTTGCATGTGTCATTTATCATATGAAACAACACGTATGACATGCAGTGTTTATACATTGTTTTTCATATATGTGAAATGTTTAAGGTTGTTCTTTGAAAAAACAGTTATGAACGTTTCACATAAGAAATAACACAGTATAAATACTTTATTTTCACACGTGTTGTCTCATATATAATACAACACATAAAACTGGTTTGTAAGTCTGTACGAATTATTAAGTTTGTGAAAGAAAGGGGAATATACATATAGGGGGTTAATCAAATGAGAACTCAATATTCTTTTTATAATTGTGAGATCCAACCACATGTGTATATAGTGAGGAAGAGAGGGTGGTGGATCCAGAAATTTTGGTGATGAGGGTCATGGTCATGAAGTTGGCAGGGTAATTTATGTATTTGTTTGAGGTGATACGCTTTAACTTTTTTTTTTCTTCTTTCAGATGGATCCCACAGAGATCATTCAAATCAACTTTTTTAGGTATCAAATGAGTCGGCTAGTTGAGGAATATTACGAGAACTATAACCACCGCTGTTGATTCCAGATATTGGTATTTTTACCAAAAAAAATCACCTTTTTAGCAAAATAATAAAACAATTAACAAAAATATAATAACTAGGCATCAACTAATAAATGTCAACCCTAGCAATTAAAAAAAAAGTAACAAGTGTCCATCGACGAATAATAAACTCTTATTATTTGCAAAATACAAGCAAACCAGCAGTAATTCCTTCAATAAAGACTCCATCTTATCATGTAATAATGTACAACAGATTCTTGATTATTCTCTCATCTCATTTGCAACATGATTACTTACAACTTAACAGATACAATAAATATTGATTCTTTTGCAGCATCTGGTTTTTGTTTTCATGCCAACCAAGTTCTTGTTGCTTTCTTCCAATTCCCCAATGGTCTACACTCCACTTCCCTTTCCCCTTCTAAAACAAAACGAAAACCATCATCTCACTATACTAAAATAAGCCTTTTAGGTATCTTATAAATTATTTAACGAGACTTTAAGTTTACAAGACAAAAAACTACGTGTCCTATATGTCTATGTAACATGACTCGGAAAAGTAAATGGTCTTAGTAGCATGTTTATAAAACTTGTTATATACGACATTTTTTTGCTAATCATATATGTTCGAGCCAGCTTGTTCATACATCAACTAATCTTATGAAGAACAGTTAGGAAAATCCCTGGTAGCCTGGGAAAAAGTGTCTTGTAAGAGCACTAATAGAAAGATTTATGTCTTGTAACGCATCTTACAGGCTTGCAATTATTGGTCCTATAAATTTAAATTCTTATTAATCATTTTATTTTAACTTATAAAGGCAGATACAAATATTTCCAAGTTAATGTGATGAAATAATACAATTTAATGATATGCCAAGACGACAAAAGGTAAAACTTATATGCCAAAGAATTCTAAAGAATATGTACCAAAAAGTTCTACAAATCCTCATCCACGTCCTATAATTTGTCAAAAGAACAATCGGTATCATGAGTAATCACAACACAAATTTAGGAAAATTGACTCAAATAGCTATTCTACCCATTCAAATTGGTTTTTTAGTCATTTCTCTTTTGGCTTTACCAAATGTCATTACATCCCAATATCCACATTCCCAATGTTGCGGATCTGGCTAAAAGACAAAAAGAAATTCAAACTTCACCAGGTTAGCAAGTGGCATCGTCGCAATTGCGGACCTGACCGTCGAATTAAGGACCTAGCCGTCGTAATTGCATATGTAGGTTGAATCTGATAATTTTTTTTGTCTTTTAACCAGGTCCGAATGTGGATATTTGCGGACGTAGTAACATTTGAGTAAACTCGAAAGAGGAATAGATAGGAGGCGAATTTAAATAGGCAAAATGGATATTTAAGTAAATTTCCCCACAAATTTATGATATGATATTGACTCCCAGGAATCTAATGCACCATAACATGTCTTTTAACAATGAAATTTTATAGTAGAAGTATTTCATCATAAGATAAATTTTCACCAAATAACTTTAAAACAATGGTTATTCTCAGTTGCTTGAATTTGGCCTTCTTTTGTTATATTTAAAACTTGTTTGCACTTGCAATAAAAACAAAAATAAGATGTTCCATTGGTTGTGGGGCTGAGCTTCACTGGTGGGTCATTGACAATATAGCATCTACGTGACCAGAACACCTATGATGAATTATCCACGTATTAGCATAGCATGCAATTAGTGATAAGAAATTCTCTCATTGATCTGTCGCTAAATTGCCAATTAGCGACAGATGAGTGACACCTTCGCAACGGACAACCAATCGCTCACATTCCATCAATTAAATGGTATAATTTTCATTATTTTATTTTTCTTTAATGGTTCTTCTTGAACAGTTGGGAACCAGAGGAGCCATCCATGGGCCGTCAATCACAAGAGCACTCGGCACATATGCCACATGTGTGAAGGTATGTTACTAGTTAAGATGTGCCCATATAACTAACACCTCTTTCCGAATTAAACATATAAACTAAACCATATACTAGGAGTCTAGTAGAATACAAGCGTACATGTCAGCGGAAAGGGGAAGACTAATTCTCCTACATACACATATGAACATCAAAATTCATTTTTTACATTTGCAATATATGAATTAACCTGATTTTTACAACCACCCCATCAAAACTCAAAAGGAACAATGATCGGCATAATGGTTGAGATATTTGTTGGGCTTTTACTACTACTGTGTTAGTTATCATTTCCTAATGAATAATCAGAATGAACCACCTGTATTCGCTTGGGGATTCTAATCCACTGAAAAGGTAATCGAATGAACCACCTGTCTATTCGCTTGGAGATTCTAATCCACTGAAAAGGTAATGGTTCTCCTCAATCAGACAACCATTTAGACATCAAAATCAACCTTCCTTTTTATCGTCAAAGGGGTTTTTTCAGACAAAAAAGTCGATTATTCTAGAAATTCGACAGTCATGGATGATTCTATCACCCTCTCGAAGATCCGGTAATCCGTAAATATGGAGCCAGGTAGAGTGTTGGCTAGACTTGGTGGTAGTTCCTAATTCAGAAGCATATATGCCAAAGCACAAAACAAAAATGTCTACCATACAACAAGGTATAAATTTGCATCAAGATTGTCAGTCTCATGTGAGTATGGCAATCACAAAAATTCAAGTTCTCTGATACAAACAACAGAATCAAATCTACTACCAGCTTCTTACCATCATCAATGATGGTGTTATTTCAAATAGTATGAGCATTTAGCAGCACATCACTATCACAAACACAGTTTGTGGATGATTTACGACAGACAAGAGTATGCAAGAGCCTTTTCTTCGCTCAGCTCTTCTGCTGTCAAGTCCAGCTTCTTCCTTGAGAACTCGTCAATTGAAAGATCTGCAAAACAAATTTCATAAATATATATATTTAAAAACAAAAACTTCATAATCCTTTCCTGAACATATGGAAAAGTAGTTCACCTTGAACTATTGTCCATTCTCCGTTGCGGCAAGTAACTGGGAAGGAGTAAATAAGCCCAGCTGGAACATTGTATGACCCATCAGAGTACACACCCATTGAAACCCAAGTTCCCTATGTAAAGTAAAAACAAAATCAGAACACAACAGAAAAAGAAAAAAAGAAGACAATAAATTACAAAGAGAATAACAAACACCGACCTCTGGAGTTCCACAGACCCAATCGCGAATATGGTCACAAGCAGAACTTGCAGCAGAGAGTGCACTAGAGAGCTTCCTAGCCTTGATGATCGCAGCACCACGCTGTTGCACAGTGCTAATAAATCCAGATTTTAACCTATAAAAACACAAACGATTACATCAGTACCATGAAATAATTCAAGGGAAAAGAAGAAAACCCTTTTTCATACCATTCATCATCCTTAATGAGCTCTGGGACAGGCTTGCCTCCAACAGTTGCATGGGTGACATCAGGGTACTGAGTTGATGAGTGGTTCCCCCAGATGATAACATTCTTCACATCTGATACTTGAACACCTAATTTCTCTGATATTTGTCCGAGAGCCCTGTTATGGTCTAGCCTTGTCAAACAAGTAATGTTTTTCTCAGGGATGGATGGTGCAAATTCCTTCAAGATCAATGCGTTGGTGTTTGCCGGGTTAGCAACAACCAAGACCTGGAGGTAGCAATACGCCAAATTGTAAGAATGACAGTTATTTCAACATAACAAAACACATAGGGAACGATTCAGGTAACATCAATGAGAACTCATTATTTTCTTCAAGAAATAGGGCCCACTATCATATTTTCTTCTGGTAACAATGTAACATCATATAAGTAGGACCCACAAACTGAAAACATTAAACATCAGTCCAACATTTTGCAAGTCTTATGAAAAATAGTTGGACATATTTCCAAAACTAAGCTGATGGCAATTCTTAAAACAGCCCCCGTAGAGAAGTAAAGCTGTAAAGCCAATTTTATGCAAGTGATTCCTTAGGATGTTAAACTGAGGCAAACAATCAGCAAATACAGCCAAGATCATGCATAAAGCAATTCCCACACCAACTTCGATCACAACAATAAAATGCAAGTTCAAAACACATCATCATTATCAACATATATATAGTTGGCTATTTATTGTATCTATACATCATGATATGCCAGGAAATTAACAATGGATAAATGAACAAAATGCAAGTCCAAAACAGATTATTTATGTCACCACATATATAGTTGGCTTGTATTGTAACTTATAAATTAATATCCATAAACCATGATATGCAGAAGAAAATGACTATGTTGCATTTAACACCGGAAAACTCCTTCCCCACACAAGATGACCTAAATTGATCAGCATCACCAGATAACACAAAACATAAAATTACCTTGCAGTTTGCTGCAGCATGCTTCTCAAGAGCAGAAGCTTGGGACTTGTAGATTGAGACATTTTTGGACATAACATCTTTTCTTTCCATTCCTTCTTTCCTGGGAAACCCACCGACCATGACTGCTACATTCACACCGGTGCATGCCTCAACAGCATCAGTGGTGGCAACAACTCCTGATATAAGCATTTCGGTACATTTCCAATATCAGATGGATGAATTGCAACTTAGCAAGCATGAAGGGCTACTAAAAATAATATAATTCCATCAACAAGAACAACAAAAAAATTACAATAATAAAGTAAGTCAACTAAATAAAGACCTTTCAGGAGGGGGAATGCAGCATCAACCAACTCCATTTTTACTCCATTTAAAGCCTCTGCAGCTGGTGGAATATCAAGCATGTGCAAGATCACTGGTTGGTCGGCACCCAACATGATTCCTCTGGCAATCATGGGAACAAGAGCATATCCAATTTGTCCTGTGAAGAAACAGACTTAATCAGTATGTTGCTATAAACCTCACTGTAGCCTAAGGATACTCCATTTGTACAAGATCACAGATCTATTGAATTTCAAGTAATTTATATATGAATAGGCAGGTATAGTTACATCATCTTCACGATACATACAGCTAGACTAAATTTTAACACAAAATGGCTATACTTGTCAATCAATGATTATTAAACATATTAGGACACAATTGACCTACAACCATTTAAACATGTCTTCCATTGACGCTTACTATGGAACAGCAATCTCCAGTTGCTGCATGGTTAGATACAACACAATCACAGAGACACATAGCACAAGCTCAGGTTGATTGGCAGGCTAATAGCAATGAAACAGTTATCCAGAATTCCAGATCTTATCCAAGTAAAATCAATCAAACAAAACAATTATGAAAACAAGAACTGATCACATGAAATTTGCAAAAATTCAATAGTCATGCACGATGTAAGGCACACCTTTACAATTCAGGGAACCAACCGCAGGATTTAGACTTTCATCGATTCTCTTCAGATTTACTTATGAGACCCCCAAAACCCTAATTCGCCTCGATCTTAAATAATTAAAAAACACGCATAAGCCTTGTGGATTTGCGTTAATTAAGACATAATAGATGACCTTCATCCATTTAAACTTAGAAAACGAACCACAGGATATAGAAGTTCATCAATTCTCTTCAAATTTACTTATGAGACCAGCAAAACCCCGATTCACCTTGATCTTAAAGGATCAAAAGAAAAAACCGCATAAACCTTACAGCCTTGGTCAAGATTGAGTTAAAGTAAGCACAGATACTCAGATCTAACTTAACTCAAAGTCAAACCACATTGCACACACTCCAGTGGTCCTTTTGTGTGTATGTGTGTGTGCACTGTAACACTTGATCAGTAAGCAACTAGATAAAGTTACAACTAAAAGCGATCCGATCAGATAAACTCAGCCAGTAACAAGAAATATTCAAAGCGCATAAACAAAATCTGAAGAACTGGTTAGATCCATAATCACTCTACTTTCAATCCAACTTAACTACGCACAGAAACTAAGATCATACCTGCGGCACCGGTAACAAGAACGCGAACTGGATCTTTTGCCATTGCTGGAGATCTGATTGGAGAAACGAGATTTGAAATACAGAAAGCGATGAAAACGATGAAAAATGGGAAGCGGAAAAACTTTTTGTTGAGGTTGTGTGACTGAGAGCTGATATTTATGGTGGTGACGATGAGGTAGTGGTTCCCGAGAAGATCATACGCCGTACGACGTCGTTCAGGGTGAGATGACCTGCTTATTTGTTCGCCATCTGGGCCACGTCAAGCCGGCTCACGGACTGCACACCTGGCGGAATAGTGGTTGTGGGCTTCCCATTTTGTGGCCTCAAATGCTTGTGGGCTTTTATTAATAATTAGAGTTAATTGCATTTTTGGTCCCTATTTTTACCTTTTTTTATGAATTAGGTCCTACAGTTTTTTTATTGTAAAAAAACAACCCTATAGTATGCAAAAAAGCTTTTGATCATGCTAATGGCTGTCAACTTTCAAACACTAAACCCCCAACCATGTGCCTTGTGGTCATTTTATCCTTAGAAATACGATTTCACAATGATAATGGTTGATGTTAATTATTAATATTTTTTACCACACCACTACCCCCATAGACAAAATTATATAAAGCAGAATTTTACACAGATAAGATATGAATGACGATGAACAACACCCATTTCCTTTGGAATCAATCTGAATTTACAAACACAAAATACACAGAAACCTACATCAAAATTGACTTCTCTAATGTAATATCCTTATACAAATACATCGTGCAATCAGAGACATATATTGATTTTATTTAAATATGTGGTACTGGAAAACCTAACCAATCGATCTCCCATTCAATCCGTTCGAACTTGCCTCGTACTTCTTAGGGTGCCTCTTACATCCTAGTGATTGATTTTCAAGCTCCCGTCATAAACTTGACTAGAACCATTCTAGGTTTCACATTTGAAACCCAAAGTAGGCAGATGAGACTAGACTTGAAACCTCACAAGAAACAAAGCATATAATGGAAAAAACCACAAAAGATGGCAAATGATGAGTCTAAGTTGATTTGTGGTTAACAATCCAACATGGATGGGTTGGAAGCCCTTTGGAAATCGACGACAACGGGAAATAGAGGAAAGAAATGGCCAGTCCTCTTCCGGTTAGTGAGATGAACGAGTGAAGTTAGTGAGTGAGCGAGAGAGGGCGAGAAACCCATGTCAATCGAAGATGAAGGGGAGAAAGAGAGGAAGAGGGATGTTGACTTTAGAGAAGGGAGGTTGTGTATATTTATGTGTAAGAGAGAGAGAGAGAGAGAGAGAGAGAGAGAGAGGGGTGTTGGTTGAGAGGGAGAAGGAGAAAGGTCTTTTAGGGCTAAAAGAGAGGGAGTAACTTAAAAGGACCATTATACCCTCATATGCAACTCACATGGAAGGATTTAAGGGAGAGGAGCGAACAGAGTTGCCTACATGGACAAAAACCAAGCTTTTTGCATATACTGCAGAGGTTTTTTTTTTTTTTTTGCAATAAAAAAACAAATCGACAAAGATTAACTAAAAACACAAAATCATGTGAGAAAAGGTTATACATGGAACTATACAAGTGTTTGTTGGTCTATATTTGGTCGGATTTATCATATTATAGTTCACCGATTGCGATATTAACTATGCTTGGTTTCCTATTTTTCGATGAATTATAGGTAGGGTTGGAGTCTGGAAATGAGGTTCCCTTAGAAGACGAAAGTGGTGTTTTCGGAAATTAATGAAGTTATGAACATGAAAAATGTAACACCCGTGTTTTTACGGTTAATTGTTTAAGAGTGTAGATTTGTCTTAGCAAACCAGTCAGTGTCTGACTATTATTGAATGTTCGTGGCTTTTGAATCAAGGGTCATAGTAGGTTTAGGATGAAGAAAAATTGTGTTGGAGGTCATCTAAGGCATTAAGAGACCTTCAATGCAAGTTCAATAACTCGAGATGTTCCAAATCAGTTTAAAAACACAATAAAGTGCCAAACTAGTTGTCAAGTGAGTTAAGCTCACTTCAAAACTAGCAGTAAGCATTTTTGGGCTCGAGCTAGTTTCAACACTAGTTTAAACTAGCGGTGAAACTAGTGCTAAACACTGAAATTCTCAGGCTAGTTTCCACGCTAGTTTAAACTAACAGTGAAACTAGCGTGGAGACCTGATCTGCACCAAAAAAAACTGAAAATCGAGGTTTTTCTCATTCTAGCCATAACTTCTTCATTTCTACTTCAATTTGAGCGATTTTTGATGCTATATTTTTGTATTTGGAAGCTATTTAAGATGGTAACAAAGATGATTAAGATTTACTTGATGATGTTGGGGTTCATAGAGGTTTAAGGTAATATCACATCTTTGTATTTTGAATCTAGGGTTTAGTCATTTTGCACCATAAACTCTCATTTATTCTCATGGGTTTATTTGTGTATCTTTAGGAGTAAAGAAGGTTTTCTTGAAAAGGTTTGCATCATAGATATACAAGTCTAGATAATGGATCTCAAGTCCAACTTTGGAAGCTCAAGATTAGGGTAAAACCTAGATTTAGCCTAAGGGGCTGTTTGGCAGTTGTTGAATAATTTGGTGCAGAATATTAAATGATCAGAATGATTGGGAGACTCTCATAATATAGTGCAAAATGAAATATAAATGTTTTGCTAGTTGTTTACAATTAAATTAGGACGCTTAATGGTTAAGAGAGACCTAAGATGCAAAATCATTCAGAGGATTTTAGAACCATTAAAAAACATATCTTTTTTTTTGCCAATCAAGATTCATCTCTTAAAGATTCAGAGGCTGCCTCATAATGGAACTATCAAGAGGTAAAGAAACAACCCCTAAATCTAGCAAGGTGAATTCAAATTGCTTTGTGAAAACTATATACATGGTAAAATATGTATTTTGAAGTATTAAAGTGTTTTATTAGATGTTTATCAAATGTATTGAGTATTTGATGAAATTTGCATATTTGGTAAGTTGGGTTAATAAATCTCGTAAAATGCATATATTTAGGTTTTTGGACATTTGATATATATATATATATAGAGAGAGAGAGAGCATTTTAATAATATATATAGAGAGAGGGGGGGGGGGAAGATCAAATGTTAACCAACAATTTTGTGTTAACTTTGCAAACCATCTCAACCAATCAAATTCCATTCTTCTAGTAGGTTTATGTCATGTTCACAATTTAATTACAAGAGTAATTCAGTAAATTGATTTGATATGTAACTCCCAAACAATTAATGGGGAGTTACAAATCATCAA